CCCCAAAACCCCAAAACCCCAAAACCCCTTAATTTAGGTTAAAAATGACTGGAGCATTAACATGGAAAATGGTAGATTAATAGTGCAGACAAGCTAGAAGTAACTTTAAAGAAGCTCTACAGTAAGAATCAGATGGAATAGAAATTCTTGGGTTAACTTAAGCAGCCTGAACAACCAAAGTGGCATGATATGAGGCATCCATGGGTATCTCCACATCGAACTTGGGTGACACTTATGCATAGTCCCTAGTAAATAATATATCTGAGAGACAAGTAGCTAATAAAGCTCTTGATTATTTAGCTTTCTTAGCCATAGAGAGTTCAAAGATAGTAAGCTTATGTTTGCTTCACTAAGAAATCTCTAAGGGCTTTCTCTATTACTTTCGAAATTAGAAAAGAGTTCAAAGCAGCCAGATTAGACACGACAAAATCTTCGCTGGTTGTGGATCCTTAATGAGTTTGCCTATTATGACAATATAAATTGCACTGGTTACTCCTTCCCTTGAGCGATCTTCAATTGGATGCAAAAGGCTTGAAACAGTTATTTAATGCAAGAGCATAAGCTTTACTTTTATCTCCCCAATAAGGGTTGCACTCATCCGCTAAGTCTAGTGATTAACCATCAGATAAAGCTACGGCCATGATTTTGTGAGGTAAGCCTAACCTTATGACATTCTGGACAATTAGTCCTGGTGTTGAGGCTATCTATAATAGTATTGAACGTTCATATGAAAATAGATAGTGAACCAAATGATATGTCTTTTGGACAAATTTAGAAGCTTAATGCTTCATCTATTTCATAGTTTGAGGATCCGATGATTTAAATCAAGCATAGAACCTTATTTAACCAATTTTTCGTCAAAACATGGGTGAACAATTGATGACATTCTTAGACTACCACCTTGTGGATATGCCTCTCAAACTCCATGACCTTAAGCCTGCTTACTTTTCGAGGTTTGTAGTCTGCACTGTATGCTTCTCCGAATTCTCAGTCAGATTAAACCTATAAGAATCTTTTAAGAAAATCTCTGAAGAATTATTTTATAGTTTCACCAACAAATGTATCGGAGGTCCATTTTAAAGATTCAGCCTCTTACCTAGAACAAAGTCAAGGATGTATTATATGCCAAGAGTTGGCTGTATAATTCTCCAAATCAGGACCTATAGCCTGATACAACGGAGGCTCAATCAAGGCGAACCCATACTTGGCATGAGAATGAACTGAATGATTTTTAGTCCTGAACCTGAAAGTTCATTAATATAACTAAGCATAGTTATAAATAGGTCTTTATGCTAACCTGTGCTATCTAAAGAGATGTAGCCGCATTGTAATAAACTGCCATGTTTTCTAAAGAGCAAGTTATTGCTTCTAACAATGGAGGTATTTACAGTCAAATCACTTTGAATTCTAGAGATCCTCATTTCTAGTTGTTGATGAGATCTTGCAGCTTGATCAACATTGTTTAAAACAATCATTTGAGAAGTCTGATTCCTGACTTCTCTCAGATTTTTAAACCTACAGGATAGCCGAGCTGAATTTCAGTTCGGTCTTGACGTTTTGGCTGAAGATTAGGCCTAACAATTTTAGCCCTAGCTTTCTATCTGACTGTATTTTCACTCTTTAAATCTCAATTTTAATATGCAAGCTGGAAGCTGCTCCCATTTTGCAAAGATAAGTACTCCGGTTATCATGCTGAAGCTTACAAGAAGCAGAGGCTATCATCATGGCTTTCTAAAATCTCAAAATTTGTCTAATTTGTGTGTAAAAAGCCAGAGAGTTGAATTTATGTTTTACCATCTTAGTAAAATAGCGGATTTCTATACAGAAAGCTCTCTATCCAAGAGGATAGGCTAGCCAAGTCATTGAAGACTTTGCTAATTCATCTGCAGAAATTCGGAGCCACAAGAGAGTCTAAACCCTGCTTAATAAAATATTTGAACTTATGTTCCTCCATATTTGCCAAAGAAATTTTATTAAAATTCAGAACTTACATATTTCATGAGATCTTCATGACTTATAGGAGCAGATCTGGAAAATTTAGAGCACTTCAAGACAGAAGGTACGCTTAAAAACACAAATAAGAGCATTACTATTAACTATGGGTTCATAGTTGCTTGTTATTTGGTCCATATTACTATTGTCTCACCATTCTTGGAAATCATCTTGAGTTTATCATAAATTTTAGAGTTTTTATACTCAACCAGAACCCAGAAATAAGGCAAATCCAAACAGAGGAGCAAGAAAGTGTTTCAAATTTTATGAAAAGATTATTATACTGATGGTGACTCTTTCATCCAGGCTGCGGTGAGTCTCAGATTAAGCAGATGAGTCTGAACTTTCGGGTGGAATGAGACTTTTGGTTCAGAGAAAATGAGGCTGCTCACACCTTCGATGCCCAGGAAATGCAGCATGATCTTCAAGAACACTGGATGAGCACTCATTGTTCTAAACAACTTTTGGCTGTAACAGTACATGAGTCTTTCAATTCTGGGCTTCAGCTGAGTATCTTCTTGAGAGATGGCTCCTAACTTATTCTTGGCATTAATAATGCAATCGAAGATTACTCAGGCTCTGTTAATGTCACATTGAGGGAAATTAACAGCACAGTACTCTATGAGGCAAACCAGATAATCTCTATGCTGAGAACGAAGCTCTGTGGTTGAAAGGAAGTCCTGGATAAAATACTTCCTCATTCTTCTAAAGGTTGCCTTGTAGACGATATCTTTCCTAGTCTTGTAGCTTAAGTCACCACCAGTCATGCCTAGTACTTCTTCAGACTCAGAGACATTGTTATTTGGGTTGTATCTAGCTGTATCACTTTCTTCAATAACTTCTTGAGTCTGATGTCTTGATTCAAGCACTGTTTTCACTTCTTCGTGTTTATCGGACCCTGACAATGCAGATAGGTTATACTCCTCGTTCAATACCATGTTTGTTCCCATTGATTGATTGGATTGTTCATTGCCCCCACATCCTGAGGCTCAGAAGCAGTAACTTGATAAAATCTGCTTCTTGAAGGAGTCTATCTCAATTTCAAGTGTCTTTGGAAGCAGCCATTTTTGTTGTTGCCAAAGTTGATTATCTATATAAGTTGTTAGCAATCTAGTCTGAAAGTGTAATTTAAAAAGCTGAACTGCAGCTAAGGCTCACGAGATGCAAGCCCAGTACCCTATAAATATCCATATATCAAAATAGTGCTGAATTCAAATATAGAGCTTAACAATGTTTGAGAATAAAACACTTGATAAATTTCTTCATTGCTATCATTATATGAAAGTAAATTTAGAATTCGTCAAAGGCATAGGGAGCATCCTCAGGAGTTAGCCCAAAGAGTACTCCCTGAGGTAAGCCTCTCATTCTTGGAATGCCTGGCTTCAAAGAATTAACTTTTGTTATTGTGGCATGCACAATTTCATATATTCCAGAATAATCTTTTAAGCTGGACTCTAATAATCTATTTGAACAACCTACAAGAGGACTTCATTGTGTAAGCTAAGGCTGACTGTGTTTCTAAGATTACCTTCAGCAATATGAGGATTCAGAGATTGTGATAAGCACCAGCAGAAGTTTTCCAAAGAGCTCTGGTTCCATTGAGCAAAAGTAGTCCTTGGCTGACCAATTTCAAAACTCATATTTGATATATTTTTCTTAAGTATTCCTAATTTCTACCCAAGATATAGCATACGGGGTTTTGGGGTTTTGGGGTTTTGGGGTTTTGGGG